TTCTTCATGGCAGGTATTTAAGGTTGGATAACATAGTTCAATGTTGAAACAAAAATATTATGACCATGCTCTATATCAAATCAAATTCTACTGTTTATGTGGGCCCATTTTTCACTTAAAGATATTATTAAAATGAAAAAGTAAAAAACACCATGTACTGGTGAGTATGGGGAGAAACAGGAACTCATATAAACAAACGGAGGGACTAGTGCAAGTTGTTCCAACTCTGAGGGCATTTTGCTGTATCTAGCAGGGATGGAGATGTGCAGATATGGCCATGACCCAACAATCTCACTTCTGGATCTAGGGAAATGTTCATAGCCATGCCCAAGGGGACATGTGCATCACAGGGTAGCCTATAATAAATAGCTCCACGCTAGGAACCAACCCAAATGTGATGGGCAGCGGGATGGTATACACACAGCACAGTTCAGGGAGCAATGAAAATGAATGAATCAGAGATGTGTGCATGCACGTGAATGATCCTCACAAACGGCGAATGAGTTCCAAAATACGGAGAGCTTTGTTATCTTTCTCTAGTATTTAAAGACTCTTAAAACAATACTCTGTTATTCATGGACCCACATTAGTGCCATTGTAAAAGGTTTACAGTGTGCACAGGAAGTACATGCCTGGGCGTCAAACAGAAGGATGCCTCTGGGCGTGGGAGTAGGATGACACAAGGAGCTTCCTCTTGTCTGGGCTGCTTCATTTAATTCAAAAGAGCTGAAACAAATTTGGCAAAAATTTACATTTAGCCATTTTGAGTGTTGATTACATAGATTTTTGTTTTGTTATTCTCCCATTTTCTATGTTTGGAATAATTTTTAAAAGATATCAATACAGACATTTTGCATTAAGTAATAGTTCTTTCCATTCCAAAGTGCTGTGGAGTTTGAGATGCTCTGTCTGGGTCCTCAGGGTAACCATAATACAGGCAGGAAAAATGTTGCCTCCATTTGAAGAAAGAGAAGCTCAGAGTGGCTGGTGTCTCAATGAAGATCACACAGCCAGTAAAGAGAAACACCAGGACTCAGACCCTGGTTCCAACCTGGTGCTCTCTCCCCGCATCATCCAACATTTTTCTCGACATTTTTTATTTGTAATGAGAACTTCCATGCCTTTTAGTACATCAGTCTGAGAACCTTTCATCAATGATGGGTGTAATTTCATGTTGAAAAACCAACATATTAAGTTGGTGCAAACGTAATTGCGGTTTTAGACCATGAATTTTAAATTATAACTAGGCTCAAACACATCTTTATTAATCAAAATAGGAACCGTTACAATCAACACATTTTTGCCAACGAGAAATAACTTTGTTTATTCCTGTAGCATAAAAATCCATGCTGCGGGATTCGACGAACTCTTGGAAAGCATTTTCTGCATCCTGCTGTTTGTAGAAGTGTTTTCCCTGCAAAAAGTTGTCAAGATGCTTGAAGAAGTGGAAGTCAGTTGGCAAGAGGTCAGGTGAATATGGTGGATGAGGCAAAACTTTGTAGCCTAATTCATTCAACTTCTGAAGCATTGGTTTTGTGACATGCGGTTTGGCGTTGCTGCGGAGAAGAATTGGGCCCTTTCTGTTGACCAATGACAGCAGCAGGCGTTGCAGTTTTCGGTGCATCTTATGGATTTGTTGAGCATACTTCTCAGATGTAATGGTTTCTCTGGGACTCAGAAAGCTATAGTGGATCAGACCGGCAGCAGACCACCTAACAGTGACCATGACCATTTTTTGGTGCAAGCTTGGCTTTGGGAAGCGCTTTGGAGATTCTGCTTGGTCCAACCACTGAGCTATCACCGGTTGTCATATAAAATCCAGTTTTCATTGCACGGTACAATCCCACTGAGAAATGGTTCATTGTTGTTGCATAGAATAAGAGAAGACAACACTTCAAAATGACAATGTTTTTTATTTTCAGTCAGCTCATGAGGCACCCACTTATTGATCTTTTTCACCTTTCCAATTTGCTTCAAATGCTGAATGACTGTAGAATGATCCACGTTGAGTTCTTCGGCAACTTCTTGTGTAGTTGTAAAAGGATCAGCTTCGATGATTGCTCTCAATTTGCCATTGTCAACTTCCGATGGCCGGCCACTACGCTCCTCATCTTCAAGGCTCTCATCTCCTTTGCAAAACTTCTTGAACCACAACTGCACTGTACATTCATTAGCAGTTCCTGGGACAAATGCGTTGTTGATGTTGCGAGTTGTCTCTGCTGCTTCACGACCCATTTTGAACTCGAATAAGAAAATCGCTTGTATTTGCTTTTTGTCTAACATCCTTTCCATAGTCTAAAATACATATAAAGTGAACAGCAAGTAATGTCATTAGCAAAAAAACATAAAGTGAGAAATGCGCATTAAAATGATGTGTAACATAACCACATTTAAGAATGTATTCCAATATCAAACGCAAATTTCAACAATGCAAAAACCTCAATTACATTTGCACCAAGCTAACAGATAGCTATTTTATGATCTACTGATATATTCAAGCAGTACATTCAATATCACATAGCGAAGCAGTATTGGAATGTATATGCCACCCAGGAACTGTTGATTCATTTATGATTTATTCTTTTTAGCCACTGTCAACCTTTCAGTTTTTAGAACTTAAAATCAAGTTTATAACCATTTATAATCTAATTCTTACAAATACAGTAATATAATTTTTTCATTTCATAATAATTTATAATGCTAAAAAATGGTAGCGCCCTAAATTTTTAACAGTAGGGTGAGGGCCAGGTTATAGTGGTTAATTCAGTCATTAACGTTTTAGTCGTGAAGACTGTAGCAATACTATTCTGTAGTATTTAGCTAGTGTGCATGAGTCTGGGTGAATGGCCGTTTATGGCTAGTGTCCGTTCTAATTAGCTACTGCCCACGCCTCTCGTTTCAATGTCTGTGCTGTATCAGTTGGTAAGTATCTTTAACATCACCCTTCTTATGATACAACATTAAGTGGGGAAAAAAAGAAGACGTCAAATTGTACTACACTATGATTACAATCATAGAGATATGTATACATATAAAAATATGTACACAAACACACACATAATTAGGGTGCTAGAATTACTGGTGGTTTTTCTATCTATATCACAAAATTTCCACAACTGTATTGCAATTTTATAATCTGAGGATTCGATATTGGAAGGTTAGAGTGTGTCCATCCCGGGCCTGCCACTGTATAAGCCTATCCTATACTTTCACTCCATTCTGCTCATTGCAAGAGGGAATGTGGAGAGGCAGTGAAGTGTAATGCTTTGCTGAAAGAGGACAGACAATAGCTGTACTTTGTTTTCAGCGATAAGATCAATGCACTGGACTATTTTATGTGTTTCTATTTGGCTAAGGGTACTACAAATTATAGAGAGATATGGAAAGACTAAATGCTGTCAGCCCCTTTTAATGAAATTCTGATCCTCTTAAACCCCCTTAGTTCACTCAAGTCTTAGTTTCCCTCTTGGGAAACTAACACGTCTTCAAGGCTGAAAACACATGCTATCAGAGAAAGTACAGTTTCATCAAATATACGGAAACCTTTAAAATCTTATAAACCCTTGTGATGCTATTATACTTTATCTTTATCAACCTTTCTAACCATGAGACTTCATCCTTACAATTCAGAGGAATGAAATTGTAACTTTAAAGAATGAAATCTTACCCTTTGCAACAACATGGATAGACCTAGAGAATATTATGTTAAATGAAATAAGTCAGACTGAGAAAGACAGATACCATATGATCTCAGTTATATGTAGAATCTAAAGAACAAAATAAGCAAGCAAACAAAACAGAAATAGACTCAGAGATATTGGGGAAAAACTGATGGTTTCTAGATCGGAGGGATGGGGATGGGGGAGAAGGTAAAGGGATTAGAAAGTACAAATTAGTAGTCAGGATATAGTCATGGGAATATGAAATACAGTATGGGTAATATAATCAATAATGTTGTAAAGATTATGTAGGGTGCCAGACAGGCACTGGACTTATAAGAGAAATCATTTCATAGACTGTGTAGATGCTGCACTGTACACCTGAAACTGAAGTAGAATAATATTGAATGTTAACTACAATACACACACACACAGACAATTTAGTTTGTGAACTCTTCCTAGAAAAAGTGCTACATACCTAACTGCTGAATATCACTACGGTCACCTTTGAAGTACTCCCCTTGGGAAGCTATGCACCAATGCCAGCACCTAGTCCACCCTTCAAAGCAATTTTGGAACTCTTTTTCTGGAATGGCCATCAGAGCTGTCATTGTATTACCCTTGATGTCATGAATGTCATGAAAATGTCTTCCTTTCAATATTTCCTTTATCTTCAGGTGAAGAAAAAAGTCATTGGGGGCCAGATCAGGTGAGTAGGGAGGGTGTTCCAATACAGTTATTTGTTTACTGGCTAAATCTCCCTCACAGACACTGCAGTGTGAGCTGATGCATTGTCATGATGCAAGAGCCATGAATTGTTGGTGAAAAGTTCAGGTCATCTAACTTTTTCATGCAGCCTTTTCAGAACTTGCAAATAGTAATGAATAATCTCTCTGATATCAAAAAAGGTTAGCAACGTCATTGTAGCAAGTTCTCGAACTTAATTGTGAGGACTTGTGTGTGTATGTGTATGTGTGTGTATGTGTGTGTGGTCATAGAATGTAAAGTACAGCATAGGGAATATAGTCAATGGTATTGTAATAGTTACATACAATGTCAGAGGGGTAGTAGATGGGGGGGGGCGTTATCACTTTGTGAGGGGTGTAAATCTCTAACTATTATGTTATTTTGTGCACTTGAAACTAATAAAAATAAAAAAGTCGGGTTTCCTGTTACAGATCCATGTGTGTTCAGGACGTTCAGTCTTGGCATGTTATTCCAACAACAGGAGCTGGCACTGGTTAAACTTTCCTTCGTTTCCAGTTATCCTATTGAAAGGGGCTATTTTAATTGTGACTTACATCTTTTTATGTCTTCTCTTTTTAAAATGATCAGTTTTTTGAAAAATTATAGACTCAAAATATAAGGGAAAGCAATGAGGTTATAAATTGAGAAGCAGAAACACCAAAACAACTGAATATTTCCCTATAGGTAACACATAAAATCCATTTCAGCTCTGCCATGTTACACAATTTCAAGTGGGAATAAACATGGCAGATAATTAAATATATTATGTAAGCAAGAGCTGTGGCATACGGCATCATAGGTACTCTGCATTCTTTTCATGCATTGCTTTTCCTGCAGAAGTACCTAGTAACGTGCGTATGCTCGGCTTTTGATCTGGTATTCTAGTGTGAGCTGTGCAGAATTCCCATTTTGCACTATCATTGCAAAAGTATGTTGTTTATTAAATTGATTCCTGACACATTGTGTTGTGAGAAGGTAAATGATGAACTGATTTAACCAGTGGTAGGATTTGCTATGTTGAATAATGCATGAGGTGACGGCCTTTTAATTCGTTTATATTTCCGGTAAGATTACTAACTTCTGCAATATTATAGGAAAGATGTGTAAAATGATTCTATGGATTAGCTCGTGTTGCTTTTATTAAATACTGGAAAAGCCTTGGCAACCTGACACGTAACCAAACAAACAAGCTCAGGTATTTAACACTGGTGTAGTTCATGATGGAAAGCCACAGTTTAAAACTTTGTTTTCCCATAAATCTTAAATGTTCTGAACTAAGAATTCATTTGCTATTAAGTTGGTCTACAAATCGCAGAACCG